AAATTTAGATCAACTAAATTCGATTAAACAAAAAAATAATTAAAATAATTGCACATGCTGACACAGCGAAGTCTTTGATATAATGATATTATTTTATGCTTATTGTATTTGTGTTAATCAAATTAATAAATGATTATATTATATATTTATAAAATTTAGATCAACTAAATTCGATTAAACAACTGACCATAAAAAATAATTGCACATGCTGACACAGCGAAGTCTTTGATATAATGATATTATTTTATGCTTATTGTATTTGTGTTAATCAATGTGCTTATATTAATAAATCAATAAGCACGTACATCAGTGAATATAATGAGATCTGCCTTTTATATTATATGTATATTAACGGATTTTTCACAATATACACAATATTACGTTAACATATTGAATGTAAACCAATCCCGTAATGGAAACAGCAATGAGACATAATTAAGATTTTACAATTTATTTTACAGTTATTACAATATTTAATAATATTGCGTTCATTATGTTTTTATATATAAACTTTATTCAAAAAAGTTTGATATTTTTTGATAGACTTATTTTGTAAAAATAAATCTATTTGTATAGTTTTTTTTTACGATTTTTAGGAGCGGTGCTTATATCGGAAATACTCGCAATGAAATAGAGCGTACAATACACTCTCGAGAATTTACATAATCATTTCTGGAAGCTGCATGAAAAAAAGAGAAAGAGAAAGAGTCTGCTCGCGATGCAAAAATTTATACGAACCCAGCGCGTTCGTAAAACCAACGGCGAAATAATGTAAAGAGATTTTCCTAAACGAGAGAAAGAGAGAGGAATTCCCCAAAACGCACTCTTTCTCCACAAGCAGTAGACGGTGCAAACAACTTTGGCGAATAAAAATATGCCGGATAAAGTTTCGCGCTCGCAATTCTTGGTGCACGTTCAGCGGGAAACTGGTTCTAGCTTATTACAGATTCACGACCCAATCAAGAATGAGTAAACAAGTGAAGTCTGCCTACGCTCTGTTTACAGTCTTACTCGAGGCAATAGAGGAACAATTGTCGCTTCATCTACAATGAAGACTTTAATATTGCGCTTTTTAAAATCCGCCAGATATTTCTAGAAATTGATGAATTCGACGTATGATAATCTTTCCCAGAATTCTTGAAATTAATTATTTATTTGTTACCGATTCTTTTTCCTATTTTGCGTGCGAATATAATGAAGTTTTGACTAAATTTTTGTTTTTCGCCAATATTCAATTTTATTAACATCAATTTAAAACGTTTAACGGTGAAAAAGTTAAACGTTAGATTATCAAGCAGCATTATAAGTAATAACAAATAATGAAATTATTTACAACGATTAATCGCCATTTTATTTTACAATACACAATTTTCGAATATCCTTTGATATATTTCGAAAGTTGTCCCGAGAACAAAGTGAAGAAGAAATGTATGGCTCTTGGACACATAATGATCAATAGTATTTCATTCCGTCTGAATAGACCTTTAGATGTTCACCTAAAACTACGCTGGCGCATTTTCCTGGGAATGCTTTGAGTGGTGCATAAACATAAGGCTTCATTGTAAATTTTGTTTCCGGACTGTATTTGCCTGCGAATCTGCAATTCATGTGTCACTAGCCGCGTTATTGCAGTATAGTCCACCTATGCGAGGCAACGAAGTCACATTCGCGAAATTAAAAAACGTGGCAAGTGACGTTTGAACGAATGAAAGAGTTCAATATTGCAAAACTGTTTTTTTTTTTTTTTTATGTAAACTAACTCGCAAATAAAAGCTTTTTACCCGTATAAATAAATCATAACTTTTATCTGCAAAAATATATCATCTGAAAATTTAATCAAATTTTGTTTATAATCTTAATTGAATTATTCGATTTTTACGATGAGTTTTTAGCGAGAAAAGACTTATACGATCTATCTTTATATATTCGCGAAAACTTGACTGAAAGCCACCAACGGCAGCAAAGAAAACGTGCCATAATCCGGTCCCGCATTCTTCTTATTTTACTTTCCGCTCATATATAAGACGAATATATAAGGAAAGGATATGAATACTAAGGGAATTTCGCCTTCTGCACAATTGGAGCCAATTATGATCGATGTAATGCGTTCGTTTAAATCGCGATCGTTCGAATACAAAGCGCGGCGAGCTTGGAGACGCATTCTTCACCGTTATGTTTGTGAAAACGCGACGTGACTCTGCAAAGGAGAAATCGCCAAGGCGGATAATGCTCGTCGTCGGTCAACTATGTCAACTATTCGTTTTCGCGCACTTCTACTTTTGGAAAAAACCACTGACACCACCGGTCGGGCGCGATAAATTACCGTGGGGACTATGGGCCCGAGTGCTCTCCGTGAATTTCCCTTATCACAACGCACGTGACCGAGTTTGTTCGTAACACCGGTATATCTGGAAAACAAAATCCTTTAAAAGAGAGAAAAAGAGATAGAAAGAGAGGGGGCGAAAGAAAATCATTACGAAAATTTGCAACACTCCTAATGCTTCTCATCTGGAAATTTTAGAATAATTTCAGATAGAAAGTACCGATGCTTCTCTCTTTTTCCGTCAACACTGAATATATATTTTTAACATCGATACTTTATCTGCCCCTAGAGACCTTAATTGTTATTATTCTAATAAAACTAATAATTCATAAAAAATAAATAATCGCTATCGATAAAATTATATTTTATTTTCATTACAGCATGTATCAGTCGTATTATTTTTGGCACGCCGTCGTGCAATGAATGTTTTAAAAACATTTTCGAAAATTTGTTTACAAGCTGCACCGAATGTTGTGACAAATGGAAAGTTCGACGTACTAGTTACCACAATTTCGGGATTGCAGCGTGAATATTTTCAAAGTTGAAAACAAAATAAAACAAATTAAAAAAAAAAAATAAAAAAACATAAAGAAAACTTATGTGATTAAAATATTTTTTTCTATTATCTTTATTATACAGTCGGCGCGCGCGTGTATTTTTAAAGTTAATCTTATCACTTATACATATATATGGATATATGCACTTATACATTCAACCGCAGAAAAAATAGAATGGTTACAACACTTTTATTCCCGATAGTTTGCCGGTATTGCGTGTAAATTTACTTAACCCTCCAGTCATTTCATCTCGATCACAATTTTCGTGTCAAACACCATTTTGATGATGCATCGCGCACACGCGAGCGCGTTTTATTTTTTTTTTCTTTTTACCACTATATCGATATCAATAATTTAATATCTCGTAAATTGATTCGTGTGGATGCGATTTAATGCATCGCATTGATATTTTCAACGCGTAACTGGACCGCGTTCAGTTGATCGCTGATCGCGTCACCGGATGAATTTATTAACGTCGTTTATTAGGAGAGATTATGTGGTCATGTTATAGCGAATGGATTATAACGGCTCTATCTGCCAGCGAAAGTGTAACGTGCAAATTATCTTATCTGGGTCGGCCATAAATTATCGATAATGATAATGATCTATTTCAATTTTTTGAATAAGTCACGCGAATTTTTCACAAATTTCTCATAGAATGTTCGCGTAAACTGTTGTATAATATATTCAAGATGATGAACAAGTTTACAACACGAATGCACAATTTAAAATAGTAAAATTGATGTTTAAAAGCAGAATTAAGTATGTACGGGTACATGTTTTTAATGGCTTGCTCATTGCTCATTCACGATGTTTTTACTCGAATGGCGTCAATAACAGATATAATAGGGATGCTCGCAATAATGTCAGTTGAATGAAGTACTAAAGTATAATTTATGATAAAAGAGCGATGCGTATCGCCACGAGTATTGATTCCGACGCGGAGCAAATGGAGCCACGAATGAATAGAGTCTTTAGAAGTGCGAAACGCGCGCAGATAAATGGAAAAGACTACTTATTGAAAATTTATCTTGAATACTTTTTATATATATACTTACTTCTTTCATTCAATCAATTATATCTGTGAAATATAATGTAACGATGAATATTGTGTGTATGAAAAGCTTTGCGAAAAATTATCAATCATCAAATTACCGGTAAATCTGAAAGAAAAATTGATTCTAATTGAATCTATCTAACATTATGTAGACGGAAGAATCTGGTAATAATGAAATAATTCCAACGATGAAGAAAAAGAACTTCTCTATAAAATAGAATTCAGTATCTTTACAATTTGCACAATAAGCTACTTTATCGTATTATCATATTATTCAATTTCATTATACTTACAAATACAAGTTTTAATAAAAAGGATAAAAAATAAACACCAAGTATATAAAAAAGTATCCGAATTTGTATACAATACCCACACAAATATTTTATTCTATGTTTATTTAAATTTAGTTAACATTGTACTTTTATTTATTACGAAAGGCGGATTTTCTGGAAAATTTGAACACTAGTTACATATGTATACGCGCGAAAGAAATCGCCAGCGTAAGCGATATACGCTTAATTTAATTGCATACGTTAGCGCAGTCTCAATCGCGATATTTTTGCTGGTTCGTAATTACGGGAACGGGAAAAAAATTACCGGCAAGAATGGGCGGAAAACGGCTGCAGTAGAAACGGGATGGAGGAAGAGGCCCAGAGCGGATAATGACTTCGCGCGCGCGCTTTTCCGCGATATCTGTACCCGGTTGGATGGTACATACGCATTACACTTTGTGTAACTTTCTAAATTATTGCCGGTGATTTGTTTGGAACTAACACCGTGCTGGCCACTCGCTTGCAAATCGGACCTGCGCTTCCGCTTGAATTAATCGGCCAAAATGTCGCGATTAAATGATTAATTATAGACGTTAAATCGAAGAAATATAAAGGATATCGTTTGGTAAATTATATTCCCAAAACAAAAAAAGTTGATTTAAAAAAAGAAATGCATCTGAAACGATCGATGATTTGTTTGAAATACGTAGAGTTAAGATTAAGGTGGACGTTTAATCGCACGATAGTGAAGTCGCGGGAAAATAATACATCGATTGATTTCTTTTTTGCAGGCTTGCGACTGCCTGGGAGTCAGCAAAGAGTGCGATTACTTTGGGTTAAAGTATCAGAATGCGAAAGGCGAGGAGCTCTGGTTAAACCTGAGGAACCCTATAGAACGGCAGACCGGTGGCGGCGTGGCACCTCTAAGATTCGCCCTGAGGGTTAAGTTTTGGGTGCCGCCTCACCTGTTGCTACAGGAAGCAACCAGGTAAGGAAAATTAATTCGCGCGAGCCACGTTATTGTTTTTCCGGATACATTTATCGCGATCGGGATATTTTAATCTCTTGAGAATTTCTATATGTTATTTCTATCAACATTTAAATAATTATAAAACATAAAGCATTGGAAATGTTAATTTATCTGTACTTATAAACATTGCATTCAACACGATATTTTTTAATTGAGATAGGTTGGTTCATCGACAATTTTCATATTATTTTAGGATAAAGTTCTTCCCCGTCAATGGAATGCTCTTAATCTTCGATAGAGATCTTAATTCAAATGTTCTTTCTCTTCTCCTAATAAATTTTGCAGTATCGGTAAAACTGGAAATAAGACGAATCCTCGTTTGCTATCGTCGCTGTTTTAATTACAGAAAATTTGCATCGTCTTCGAGACCTCTCTATACTATCAAATCAAATCCCTTTGCATCTTTTATTGATTCTCGAATACTTATACAGGAAATTCATTTTAAAACTCAATCGAAAAAAAATTTCATATATAATAATGTTTGTAAGCTTGGTTACATAATTATAAATTTCCTTAATACAACAGGAACACGAATGTGATATCACGTTTCGTTATAACTTTTAAGTATCTGAAAAAGGGCAGAAGTCGGATTGTATTTTAAAATTAATATCCGGTCGCTACAAGCACGAAATGAGGAATTGTCTCGGGAAATACCTTGTCGCGAGTGTTCGGTCGGGAAACAGCAACTCGTTTTGTTTGAAGTTCTGATTGGTTCGTTACCACGGCGCGTATTCAAAGCGAGTGCGACGAACTCTCCGCAGCAGTTACGAATTGCGTCCGCTGTAATCCGCCGCACGGATGCACTCGTGCGAACGGCGTGAACGAGACACGGAGAGGCCTTCGTTCGAATTGAAAATCGTTTCCACCGTAAAAATTCCTCTCTCGGGGAGAGTCGGAAAGTAAGAGCAAGAGAAAGAAAGGGAGGAAATCGCGACGAGGGATAGATAGATAGATAGATAGATAGAGAGAGAGAGAGAGAGAAAATGCTTGTGCAATCAGTTGGATTCCTTGGGCGCGATCTATCGATCCCCGAGCCGTGAGGGTACTGATTGCATCCGGCGATATTGTGTGCGTTGTTGAATGTGTTTTCGTGCGAGCACGGTTGCAAAGGCGACGTTTCTCTCCGCGGCTGAAATATATACACGATAAATAATGTTATGCGCGAGATGCGCCCTGTTACGACATCGATGCGATTTATTTTGAATTATTTGTGGCATTTGTATCGATGCCGTTGTACCTATCGTGCATCCTGCAATGTACCGCAATGCAATCGCTGCGCGAAATTGGATCAATAAAATTTAAGGCATATCTAAAGAAAAATTTCGAATTTTTCATAAATTACAAATATTTGTCGAGTAACTCTGACAATGCCAAATTTTAATTATCTTGCGCAAATAAAAGATTTAATATAAAAAGGAGGATTACTCAACAAATAGGTTGTAATTAAATAGTGAAAAACAAGAGATCATGTATCGGACATGATATTGGTTACGATATTCGATTTTCGCATCGCGAAAACATGATCAAACTTCGAAGGTAATATATCTTTGCTCTTTACGCGAAACATTTATGATTTCTTGGGGCATCTCATGTTTCTCGAGGCGAAAAAAATTCTGCACCCGATGATCGAGTAACGACTTCACGTTCGACGAACTCGTGTTCAAAAGTTTCCAGTGAATCGATGCAATTAAACGCTGTCTAGGACTGTAATTAATAGCAGCGCGGAGTGCTGTGGCCCGCAGATTTCAATGGATCGAAACGTAATCCCAATTTAATCGCGGTCGTTCGAATTACCTCGCGTGGAGTTAAATGCGCAAAGAGTAATGAGTCTGTCGTGCGAATTAATTAGTCACCGGTACCGCGATACTGCAGTTGTAATTGCGGCAGCTGACGGGACCAACTCTTTCACCATCTAGCTACGTGTATTCGTCACATCTGCAGCGCATTCGTTGCCTCTTCAGTATAATGTTTTTCTTCCTAGTAAAATATTTTTTTGTAAGAAATAATTGACTACAAATTTCAATAAATGAATTTAAAAATAAACGAAAGCGCTCTGTATATCTATAGTTGGGCACTGTGATGGATTTGTCTGTCGGGTAATCGCATATGATATCGCAAAATTAATCTGACATAGGTCAGATTTAATTGCGTTACACCGCATCTCGACTAATTTATTCGAGAAAGAAACGAAGATAAAGACGGACGTGAAAGTGCCATCGAGATTTTGCGAAACCGACATGTAGGATATTAATTCGCGTGTGTGATACTGTTATGTGCTTCGGGATAATCCTGCTTTGTGCATAATGTTCAGCCAAGCAGCGCCGAGCGTTTATCTTCACATCGCGGTATTCTCTTACTTTCACATCACATACTGTCGTTACGAATCGACAAGGAGATAACTTATAACCGACATATATAATTATTTGTGACTCGACAGAATTAGCTATTTACATTTTGTTTTCGTGTTTATTTCGGGAATTTTGAATTATATTAAACTCGGCAAAAAGCATTTAAAAAATCGTAAAAATGCAAAGCGTTGCGAGACGAGAATAATGAGTTTTTTTTTTCGGGAACGTTACATATACGATATATAGGTACTTCATCATCATATTTCATCGTAGGATATAAATCACGGAGTTACCTCTCGTCAATTATTTCGCGCCATCGATTTTGCCTGTGATTTATCGATCTACATTTTTTATTCGAAAAAAAGAAAAAAGCACAATTCTCTGATTGCGAATTCGAAGTTTGTACGACGTAGAAGCTTTACACCGACGGACGGGCTCACGTTTGATTTATCGACGATATACATTTCGCGTTTGCAACGACGCGACACTTTACTGTCACATTCCGCCCGTAAATTTCGGGAAGATACACACACACGACGCGAAGTGACAACTCGTTATTATCGCATCATGAGACGATCCATGATTAGAGATATAATGCGTTACAAATTATTGCACTAATATTTTATGATTGGCATTACAGTGAAAGTTAATAGATACAGCATAATTAATTCTTTGTAATAATGATTCACTATGAGGAATTTCATTATTTATTCGCATCTATTATATTTTGAATTTGCGTTATAAAGAGATTGAAAAATGAAATTCTGTCGTTTAGTTTTTATTAATTCGTCTTGCATTTCCGCATTAGCGAAATGTCGCCACCAGGATCGTCTATCATACATCGTAATGGCGAGAGATCGTCGCAGCCATTTCTTTCGACTACGAAGTTGGTAGACGTTGATAAAGACAAAGTGTTTCCGCATCCGAGGCAGTCGGAACTCATAGTTATCTGCAAAATTACAACTGCGACTTCTCGTAAGAATATCATAACGGGTGAGTCGTTTGTCATTTTATTCGTGCAGTGAAAAGATTTGCGTTTGAAGAAAAAACTTGCAAAGCGAACACTAGCATTACGGCTCTGTTATTTACTGTTAGTCATCATAAAAACGTAAATATTTAAATAAATCGTAGTTTATGCGCTTGGTTATAAATGTTGCGATATACAAAATTTCTTCTAATGTCAAGTTTACAGATTTTGGTATCAATATCATATATATATATATATACGAAAAAAATGTCAGAGCTACAATACCTTCTCGAATGAGAAGCGATTAAAGTTAATTCGAACTTTAGCCACTGTAATCGCTTAACTTTATAATCGTTTGTCATCTTAAAAATTTCAGAAAGTCTCGACGTTCTTTCGCATTAGAATTTTCGTTTCAAAAAATTGTTCAAGAAATCTGTCGCTTAATAATGCGACCAGCGACAGGGATATCCTTCCTATACACACATATACATATACGCATATTTTAGTTATATATATATATATATATATATGCATTTATGTTAAAGTCTATGATATTGATACCAAAATCTGTACTATTGATACAAATCCTAAAGTTGACAAAGGGTGCAAAACTTTGATTGCTTGTTTTAATTTTTTAATATAATATTAAAAAAAAGTTTACATCCCGAAAGATAGATATTTTTTTGTAACGAAATAAAATAAACAGAATAAAATATATGCCGCTCTCATGCAGGTATTAAAAAAAAAAAAAAAAAAAAAAAAAAAAACCCAAAGGGCAAACTGAAAAAAAAAATA